TTTCTTACACGGCCACCACACAGCAGGCTCTAAACTCTTGGGGTACTTATCGATCATGGCGCCTAGGAGAGGCAACGGGTACGCTCTATCCAAGGCTAACACGCTCGCCATGGCCTCCTCGACATCTTCTTGAGTTGGTGTTCGGAGAGAAAGTGTAGTTTGGATACTATTTTGAAGCCTCTTGAACAACCTTACCGCGTTTCTTTGCTCTTCTACCAACTGAGATGGTTGAATCTTATTCATTATTAAAAGAATCCCTGTGCCCGCAACAAAGAGTAATGTTGCCGACACCTTCAACCCTAACCCGTGAGGTCCACTAGCCTCGGCTAGACCGGCCATTGTAGCCGCGGTTAAGGTGATCATGTTAACGGAGTTTAACAACAAGGAGTTCCAATTCTCACGTTGGTTACCGATGTTTTGATGCATCTCAATCCTATCACTAACAGCTTCTAAGATTGTATATAGTTTGATAGCTTCTTTCGTGTTTTTCGTGGTTGTGATGGTAATTGGTTTTGCATCTCTTAAAGGAAGGTTGGTTGTAAGCTTATCAAGCTGTTCAATAAGCTGCTGTTTTTGAGCATGATTTGGTAGTTTTGGGACTGTAATTTTGGGGTACCTTAAGTATTTTGGACCACTAATTGAGCTTGTGATCATTGATTTGTTTGAAGAAACCGAATTCAATGAAAATAACGAAAAAGTAGAGGATTTTTGTAAGGAATCCATGTTTTTTTGAAGATCTTGAGTTGAAACTTGTGTTTGTTGAATAATGTGGTGTGGTTGGTGCTGTTGATTATATATATAAATACTTGTGGTTCAAAGGTAGATCTAAGGAAAGGGCCAAAAAAAAAAAAAAAAAAAAAAAAAAGGAAAACTTGGTCAAAATGTTGAATAATATGTTAAATATTGACTAGTAAAGGAGAAAACTTTTTCATGGATTGTATACCATAATATTCAACTATTCATTGATTTGGATAATACGAGTAATTATAATGGACCCTTCAAAGTTTAACATTAATGTAGTAAAACTCATGACACTTTGATTTTTTCTAATTTAGAGGCTGCTATCTAAGCTTATAATTCACACTTTACTGCCATATAGCTAAATGAAGTCTTATATTTGACATGTTAGTGCTTAATTGGCATTGACATATACAATGTAATTATGTCACCAACGTTAAGAATTCAACTAAGATAAAAGAAGAATTACATCAAAATACTAAAGGTCAAACAAAGGTGTATAAATACAAAACGTGAATTTAACGCTCTTTCTCAATAGGGTTGACTTTTGCTGCTTTTAAATGTGAAATTCAACACCTTCCCATTCTCGGCTATGCATGACCAAACCCCCTCCTGACCCTTTCTATTCACCTACTAAACATTGTCCGTACAAAAAGTAATGTTCCTTTTTACTTCAACTGTATTTTCATACTCAACTAATTATCTAAAGTTACATGGTTTAAAACCGACCTTTTGCAAGTTGGTATGTAATTCTGCTTGAAAAAACTTAATCACAGAAATTGGGCAGCTCACAATCTCATTATTACCTCTATACTCTATTAGGGCAGTTTGGTTCGCAAAAGGTAAACGAAAGGGATTTGTTAAACGTCGCCCGCAAATCTCCACATAAAGCCCACAAATATTTTTACTTTGACTCTTTTGCCCTTTTTCTAATTTTTACCGAAACCGTAATTCACTCTCACGAAGAATGTGGAGCTGGAGTGGATCGCCGAGGGACACCGAAGAGCCGTCATCGTCGCCGGAAAGCGAGATAATGCGGGGGAAAAATTACGAAAAGTAGGGGTGGCGTCTGGTCAGGACGCCGCCACCATGGTTGTGGCGTCCTGGCCAGACGCCGCCACCATGGCTGTGGCGTCCTGGCCAGACGCCGCCACCATGGCTGTGGCGTCCTGGCCAGACGCCGTCACCATGGCTGTGGCGTCCTGGCCAGACGCCACCCCTACTTTTTGTAATTTTTTTTTTTTTTTTTTGTAATTTGTTATTTTTTTATTTATTTTTTTTTCTTTTTTTTTGTAATTTTATTTAAACTTTTTGTAATTTTTTTTAAAATTTTATTTAAAGTTTTTGTTTTTTTTTTTATTAAACATTAACACAAAAAATTAAACATTAACACAAAAAATTCTGATTTAAAAAAAAATATATACATTAGAAATAAAAACATTAACACATAAAACAAAAATATTAAACATTAACAAAAGAATTCTGATTTTCCAAAAAAAAAATATTAGACAAAAAAAAAAAAAAAAAAAAGTGGTAGGGCGCCTGGCCAGGACGCCCAGCCCCTGGTGGTGGCGTCTGCTCCGGCCGCCGGGACCAGGGGGCTGGCGTCTGACCTGGACGCCCAGCCACGGCGGTGGCGCCTATGGAAAACGCCACAACCGTGGCTAGGCGTCCAGGTCAGACGTCAGCCCCCTGGTTCCGGCGGCCGGAGCAGACGCCACCATCAGGGGCTGGGCGTCCTGGCCAGGCGCCCCACCTCTTCTGATTTTTTTTTAAAAAAAAAATTTTAAAAAAAACCCTGCCACCGTGAGCCGTCCTTCCCTCCGCCGCTGTGGCCGCCAAGTCCTTGCCTTGCTGCCTCAACACTGCCGTATTTTCGGGTGATTAGAGTGTGGGAATGGGTTAGATTTTTTTATTTTAGGTTTAGGGCAATAAGGTAAATTCAATATAGATTTGTGGGCTTTATGTGGAGATTTGCGGGCGATGTTTAGCAATCCACAAACGAAATGGAATGAACAAAGGGAAAGAACAAGAATGGAATGAAAATCCCCCCAAATTTACTACTCCCTCCGTCCCATAATATAGTTCTTATTTTCCTATTTTGGAGACCCAAAATGTTAATCCTGTTTTCATTTTTGGATAGTATGTAAAGACCCATATACCCTCATTTTTTTAACTTTATTCATTGTACTTCTTAAATTACCCTTGAATTTTGTACATGTTTTGTACCTTTTTCCACTTTCTTTCTCTAACTTTTGTCTATAATTGTACTTTTCATTTTTATTAATGTACTTTATCCACTTTTTTCTCCTATTTCTTAAATAACGTGAAAAACACAAACAGGAACTATATATTGAGACGGAGAGAGTATGTTATTCGTTTTGAATAACAAAGGGAAACAAATCATCACTTCCACCACCACAAATACCTATTTTCTACCTTCTCCAGCCACCACACCACTCGCCAACCCTCCCCCCCCCCCCACCCCACCACTCGCCACCCATCGCCAGAGCTCCCCCGTCCCTCGCCGCCCCTCCCTTCCCTCGAAAAACTCCACCACTCCCGCAAAAACCCTAAAAACTCATCCCCTTCCCCGTAAAACAGCCGGCCGGCCCTCCCCCCACCCTCAAAACCCTAGCTCCGGGAGGGGAGGGGCGGAGAGGGACGGGGAAGCTCCGGCGAGGGACAGTGGAGGCGAGGGTGGCTCGGCGGCAGGGGTAGGGTAGGATGGTGGTGGCTAGTCCGGGTATGGTGGTGTTGTGGTGGCTAGGGAAAGAAAATGGAAAAACCTGAGGGGGGGATGGGGAATCAAGTTGGAAGGATTTGGGGTAATGGAGGGAAAATGCCAGACAAACAACAATAAAGGGAATCAGGGCAGTATATTCACATTCCCTTTGATGAATATCCCCAACTAAACGGCCCCTTAGTATATTACATTCTTCCTTCGTCATTGAATACTCATGAGGATCAAGGAGTGGAGGGATGGTTAGTCGCTCCATCTCCCCCCGGTGTGACCGGGATTCGATCCTCACCCCATCACCCCTCCTATAATAGGAGGAATACCCCGTATCTTATCGTAAAATAAAAAAATAAAAACAAATAAATAAATGAATTGAATACTAGGAAAAAACTTCTGAACTCCATCTTAACATTTTCTATGTCAAATATTGTTATCACGTGAACGTCATGTTTATGCTAAAGTTGTTAAGAATGTTAACTCGGTTTAATGTAGGATGGTTTGAGGTTCTATTACTTCTATACACGTTGAGATGATACGATTGTATGAAGACAAGATGCCACCTTATAAGATGAATTATAAAAGTAGATTTCCCTATAATCTCCCTCTAATACTGTCTAGATTACAATTTTTTAGCCGTAAAAGGGCTTGACTAGAGGTCGGACTATGCTCGAATTTTAATAAGCTAATCTTGAACTATCCTTGGCTCATCTCGAAAGCTTATAAACATACTTCAGCTTTTTAATTTTTGAGTTGTACATATAAGGGGCCGGGGCTTGACTCAAGGTCAAATTTGGCTCCAATTAATGAGCTAATCCTGAGTCACCTTTGGTTCATCTCGAAAGCTTGTAAATATACTTCACCTTTTTATTTTATTTTTTAATGGATCACTTTTTGAAAGTTTTCAAGGGTTCACAGTGCATTTTTAAAATCTTGGGGGTACACAAAACAATTTCTCTTTATTTTTTAATACTTCATCAATTTACTTCTTATACTCCGTATATTTATTTTTTTCATATGTTTTTAACATAAAATTAGTTATTCACATATGGGTCTTGGACTCTTGAGACTAGGGTTAGTATTTTCGTAGGACATTTGGGCCTGGAGCCCAAAATCAAGTATTTGAGCTTCGGGCCCAACTTAGTGCCAAGCTTGATTAAGCCTGGCATCGAAAGCTCAAGCCAAGGCCAATTTTACAAGCTTGGTGAGGTTCTAACTCGAGCAGATCTCGGCTTGGTTAGTCAAGAACTCAAGATTCCTATATGGGACCATTTTTTAGGAATATTTTAGAGGTGATCATTGGGCATGCTGGGCCGAGCCTATGTCAAAAAATAGCCCGTGTGTCGGCCCGGGCCAAACTTCGGACTGAAAAGTTTATGCTCAAACCCGCTCAAATGGCCTGACCGTGTGGGCTTTTCGGGTCAGGCCCGGACCAACCCGATTTCGGGTCAGAAAAGGCTGCCAAAATCGGGCTGGGCCACCTACGATCAGCTCTAGAATATTCTAGGAAGGAAAACAAGGCATATAAAAGACGATAGATGGATTATTGAATATAAACAATAAGCATATTACATTATCATTATATCAATTCTACCACTCGTCATGATAACAAGATGAAGGCAAACTTTAGGGGAGGCAATGCCAACAATAAGCAAAAATGCTTTGTTGTTGGGAAGACTAGCCTTTTTTTGCATAAGGTTTTTTTTTTTTTAAGGGGAGCCTTTTTTTGCACAAGTTGCATTAAGGTAATTGAATCATCTCTAGGTTTAATTTAGCAACCACCTATGAAACAATAGGCTTTGCAAGAGACTACGAGAAGATTTACTGATTTACATGTACATTTCAGAAGATCTAGCTAGCCGAAACAATGTATTTTAACTTCAAATCTAACCATCTGTGCCATGCTGACATAATGTAAAAATAGTATAATAGGATACCACTGATTCCACTTGCATTGAACATTCAATGGGGTAGTACCGTAGGCTATTGTGAAGAGTTGGATACGTACGCTTTAGCTTAGTCAAGCTTTGGTAAGAAGCATAGACCTTGCTCGTAAGTTCAAAAATATCCCCCTGAGAAATTCAAAGGAAGTAAAGAGCTTATAGGTATCAGTTTTCATTTTAGATTCCATATATACATATATATAGACACGCGCAGCATAACTGGGAAAGATAAGAATATAACATCATTACCAGCCAAAAGCAATCATGCTCTGGAAAATCACCCGTAAATGCAATGGCACATACTGGTGGTTAATCCACCCAAAAACGGGCCAAAACTGAGCCAACCATCAAATGAAGAACATTAAATTAGCTAACAAGTAAGAATTTCACATTAAGGGGTTGTTTGGCAATCGGCGGTTGGCTGTTGGCTTGTTTGACTAGCTGAAAGTATTAACTGTATGAATTGGCTTTTTAAGTTAGTTGTTTAAGCCGGCACAAAAGTTTTTGGTAAAATTATCAATGGTTGTTAGTTGTTTATTAGTGATAAAGTGGGCCAACAAGCCAAAAGCCAATAGAAAAACCAATAAAAAAAGCTACTTCTATTAACTTTTGGCGGAAAAGCCAGCTTAAAAGCCAACAAAAAAGCCAACTATCAAATATATCTTTTGGCTGTTTGACCAAACTAAAAAGCCAAAAGCCAGGCAAAAAGCCAATTGCCAAACACCCCCTAAATAAATACAAAGTTCAGACAAATAGTTGTGTAATACCGTCCATGCTGTCAATTGCACTGATGGATAATCTTTCCTTATTCTGCTTCTGACCTGGGTCCATGGTCTTTCTGCAATTTACACGTTGATAAAAGTCATTCAATTTGATTAGTTAAATAAGATTAGTCAACTAGCAACTGATACTTTCAAACACAGATCCTCATGCTCATACGAGACACAACTGTACAAGTAGTTCATCAGAGTTGAGAGAAGAGGAGATGGCCATTGGAAAGTTTACGACTGTAAATCCAGTATGCACATTATTCATAAAGCTATTCAAGCTGAGTGGTCAGCAATCAACACGTGTTTTATGCAAATGGTGATAAATAAGCCATGATCATATTACACACATCACTACCAGTCCATAGAGTACAGGATCATGCATGATTCCGCAAACTGAATGACACAGGTGGTTGCTAAATTAAACCTAGAGATGAATTGAGATCAACTTACTCTCCACGACCCATCCATAATATATCATAAAGAGCATGTTGTTCAATGGGGAAACTGTCAATTGCTCTACAACAACCTGAAACATATAGAATATAGATTATTGAGCATTTATTTTACTCATTTTCCTCTTCCCGTTTGCAATAGAAAACGTGGTTGGGAATCAAAAACAGAGGTAATACTGCTCACCCAACAATGGCTTGAATTTCACCATTTCCTTCTCTCAACCCGAATTACCACCCCAAAGATGTTAAAAGCATGTAAAGATGATAATGATAAACAGACTTGACCTCAGTTGATGAGTTGCTGCATTCTCCACAGGATTATGACAAAAAATCAGTTTGACATGAACTCAGCAACAATTAAACATATGTTTGAGCTAATATCTGATTCTGATTTTTTTTTCATTCACTGGTCAATAAGGCAAAGCCTAAGGTTGATAATATTACCCAGTACCCACACTAGCCAGCTTGTATTGGATACAGATACTGAGATACATGTTCACACATCAGACTGATACATATTTTTAATTATATTGGTGTTTTTTCATCTAGAAAGAATGTGTCAAGTCCAGAGTCATGCTGGATGATCGAGCACTTGACATCGGTGCTTGAAATGAAATGAAAAGTCTGATTAATACGCTGATAACTGCAGTTTATAAACTTTTATTGCCTTTTTACCCAGTTTAGATAAATGAGAATGTCATACTGATACCTTCTTAGCCACTGTCTTTGGATCCTTCTTCCCTTTGAAAACCTTATCAAGCATGAGGTGAAAGAAATGCCCAAACGGTCCAAGATAAGCGAATCCTAAAAGCTGCATCGAGCCCACATAGGTTGGTAAATGGAAACAAGTTACAGATATTATAACAAATTGAATCACACATAACAAGATACTACCTATCTTCAATAAGATTGTCTATGCTCATTCTAATTGAATGACATATTGCATACTGACATACTCCATTTCAGTTATCCTCTAAAAAGGTCTTCTATGTTTATTCCGATTTGAGGTAGCATAGTGTGGATAATAATATCATAGTAGCCATCTTCTCTAAAGGTCATTATTGTTTATTCTAATTTGAAGTAAGGTTGGTAAATGGAAACAAGTAAGAGGTTTTAAAACGAATTGAATCATACACATAATTACTACAAGATGCTCCCTACGCTCATTCTAATTGAAACGATTAAATGCCATATTGCATACGCCATTCCAGTTATATTTTTATGTTTATTCTGATTCGAAGTATCACAGCCACAGCGTATAAACTAGCAATCTTCTTAAAAGGTCGTATTTTTTATTCTAATTTGAAGTAGCTTAGTGTGTATAGCAGCAGCAAAGATCCAGATACTAAGTCAAATTTCTCTCCAAACACCCATCAGATAACTATGAGCTTGACGAGACACTAATTTAGTCACTGCCGACAATGAGTTCAAACTAATTAACATTAGATAAGCCACATAACTGCACAAACTACAGCCCTTCATAATCTTCAATCTACTTTTATATTTTGACTTTCAAAGTTCCACTAATCAACTTTTCTTTTCTTGATTATCAAGCTAAACAAAAAGAACATGATTATAGTCAATTTGCTGCAATCTTGAATATTCACACACACACTAAGCCTAAAATTAGACTGAAGTTTGAACAGTTGAGAATTCATCATTCCTTGCGTCACAATTTAAGCCAAAAAGGGGGCAAAAATTAATAAGTCAACTACATATATCAATTAAAATTGGAATTTGGGATCAATTCAAAATTAACCAGTTGATCAAAAGAAAACCAAAATCCCAGAAATAATTGATTAATGGGTAGTTAAAAACTAAATCTACAATACCCAAAAGTGCAAAATTTATACCACTTTAAGCAAAAGGCGTCGAATTTGAAGCTTTTGAATACCAGAAAGTTTCTGAGAAACTATGTCACTAATTGCAGATAAAACCCCAGCTGTAATTGCCTGAAATTATCATCAAAATAACATTTAACAACAAAATTAACCCATAAAATTGAAAAATAAAAAATAATCAAACAGACAAACTAGAAAATGAACCCAAAAATTGAAAAGTAAAATACCCAGATTGCAAAATTTAAGGGAAAAAATACCTTAGTTCTTAAGGGGTGGCGCTGAAGCTGGGATAAATAACGTTGTAAACCTTTCTTAGCAAAATTGGCAGTCATTTTTTTTTTTTTTGGGAAATATTTTTTGAAGTTTATGATTGATAAAGACGAATGAAAATTGTTCAGCAGGTAGTTGTTGTTCAATTGTCCAATATTAATGTGTTTTGATTTATGTGTTTGTTAAAATATCTTTTTATTTGTGTTTGCAACATTGGTTTGTTGGGCATAAACATGGGCCCACGTACAATAAATTTCCTCCTGATTGCTGAGTGAATCTTTAATGGTTGAGTTGTCTCCAACTCTCCATTAATGCTTGAGTTGTATTTCCTAGTTTTATAAGTACCCGTATTCCCGTAATACAGTGGCTTTTGCACAGAGTTTTTTTTGAATAATTATACTCCTTCTGTTTTTTTTTTTAAATGTAATAGTTTGACCAACATATTTGTTGAGACATAAGTTTGACTATTAATATCTTGGAAAATTCTCAGTGATAGCCCGCAAGTTTAGCTAATTATTTTTGGTGGCCAAAAACTTTTTAAATTATCTAAATTAGCCATATAATACAGTAACTTAATTAATTATAACATTATAAACCATTATAAGCCACTTTTAAGACTAATAAGTAACTATGGTTAACTTAATTGTAATTAAATAACATAATTACTATTACACCCTTACTTATTACTTTCCCTCCAAACTATAACCATCATTTTTCCTCCAAAATCATTTTCCCTTCTTTATATAACCCTTAAACAGAGAAAACCCATTCATCTTCTCTGCCATTTTTATAGTACTCCGCATTCTCATGGCTTCATCTCATAGTTTTTCAGCATTAGTAAAAATTGTAATAAAATTATACGGAGTGTTTTGAAACTAGATATTATGACTAATATAATGATGTAGTATTACAGAGTATATAATAACATTTATTTATTTCATAGAGGTGAAAAAATTAAGTCAACCATAGTATGTACTAGACATTATGACTAATCTAATGATATATTATATAATAACATTTATTTATTTTATAGAGGTGAAAAAATTAAGTCAACCATAGTATGTGAATAGTACAAAAGTCAAAATGATGCATTTATAAAAAACAGAGAGAGTAATACGTAGATGGTGTATATTGTATCAATTTATACAAATTGCATTCAAAATTGTAGTTTATTCAATATCTTAAAGTGAAATTATACATACATCCGTATGTCTAAAATCCTATCTCAATTCTCAACTACCTATCCCCACAATCAACTTATTATTCATTTTGCATGCTCAATCAACTTTAATCAATCAACTATTCACCAAATACTTTTATACAATCAACTATTCCTCCCGTCCCTAATTTTTTGCCCCATAGCAAAAATTTAGGTCAACTTTAAAATATTTGACCATAAAATATCGTTAATCTATTTGATATAATACAATCATGTGGAATCTTGCTGGTTATATCTCATTGTATATTTTATTAATATTTAGTTTTCATGATTTTTACGTGTATGAAAATGTAGATAAAATGCGTCTTAATTACCGTGAAAAGTCAAATAGAGTAAAGTATTAAGGGACAGAGGGAGTGATAATAATTTAATACAACATCTAAGTAAAAAAATAGTTAATACAGTCAGCTTTAGCCTTCAAATTTTCACTAAAACGACCATAATCTTCTGCTATGAGACCCTTAACATATTTAATATTTACTATTGAACTGAATGCAATTAGCGTTCAATAAATGACGGCAAGAGATGTATCATAAATATATTTTCCTCTATGGGATATCTTTTTTCGAGATCCCATAACCATTTTTGAATCTCATTCTCCTTCTCCATCATACATCCTTGTAACATGGAAGTTGCCTCCCAAAAATTCATTAGTAATAACAATGGAGTCCTCATCGAAGAAACTTGTTCTCTCCTAGCTCAGTTTTACAATTGGAGTATCCACCATATATATCTACCTAGAGGCAACTCACGCAGCATTGCAACAATAATACATGTAGGCCGATTGGAGTATCCACCATATCCACCTAGCTCAATTTTACAATTGGAGTATCCATCATATCTACCTAGAGGCAAATCACGTAGCAAATTAATGTTTGTACATATAAGCCATTTAGAGAATTCACCATATCTACCTAGCTCAATTTTACAATTGAAGTACCCACCATATCTACATGTAGACCTTATAGTAATATTTGATAGTATATATGGACATTAATGTTTGTAATAATTCTATTCTTTTTACTATTCTATCTTTTGATACATTAGGAATTTTGTTCATGTGGGAAAAATGTTTAATGAATTCTTTTCTTACCTTTTTAAATAATAATAATAATAATAATAATAATAATAGTAATAGTAATAATTATTAACTAAATTTTTTTTAGTACAAGTATGGTACTAGTTCTTCAATTCTCTTAGGCCCACCAAATAGTAAAATGTAGATGGGAGAACTCTATTAAAGAACTTATCATTATTGGATTTTTTTTGTTTTGTTTTTTGTTTTTTTTTTTAATTTGGTAGCTAAGTTTAGTGTATCTCTTAGAGAAATATGGTGGATATAGAAAGAAAAGGTCATAAACCAATACACAAAGGGAGGGATGTTAATGGGATGAGGTGTGTTGGATTTGGTCTTTCCGTTTTTATCCCCACCTAATTTTTTCATCTCGTTCTTATGCCGAGATCAAAATTTATCTTTATCCTGACCCCATTAGATATAAATTAAATCTATCTATGCCCGCCCTACCATCCACCTGAGTACCCACCACTCGCCTAATCCCCTTCTCAAACCCGCCTCATAATAATTGTATGTGTCCATTAAAATTTCGTATAGTTAATAGTATAAAAAGATGAAACTCTAATTATCAAAATTAGTTTTTCTTATTTTACGTGGATATACTATAAGATTGACAATTTTAAGCTCTGATATTTTATATTATTATAAAAAAATATCAAGTAGAAATGGGGCGAATTTGGGGGGAGGGGGGTTACAACTTAAGATTCACCCCTACTCCACCAACTATGGCGGGTATGGTTTTCACCCCATCCTCGCCCCCACCCCATCACCTGCCAAATTTAGACCCATGAGCGGGGATAACACAGGCCTCCTAGTTGATCCGTCCCATTGACATCCCTAAATAGTAAATTAAATACACACTCTCTTTAAAATTTTTAAAAAATAGAGGTGATAATGGGATAGATTTGATCGAATGGGATGAATTCTTGTACGGTTGATCATGAGTTAGATTGGATCAGATGGAAATCATGGGATAAATCCTTTCCAATTTTATTTTACTACTCTCTCTGTTTTTTTCTATAGTGTTACACTTTCATTTTTGGCAAACAACTTTATTATAATAAAATTATTTCTCTCCTCACATAATCCCTATTTAAACCCACTACTGCTTTATTATTACTCCAATCGCATTAATTTTTTTCCCTCTCATATCTTTTACTTTTCAATAAAATATTAATTTTACTATTTGATGATTCTATGGTAGTCATCCTTAAAATAACTACCATTATACAAATTTTTTATTGGCTAATTTTGATTTATTTTTTAATGTCAAAATTAATTATAAATCATCTATCTAATTTTTAAAATTCATTTATTAATTTTGAAATAATTTTTGAATTATTTTTATAATTTTTCTAATTAATTTACAAATTTTAGTTTTTATTATAATCAATTATCACCCAATAAAAAATTAGTATAATGACTACCATAGAATTTTTAATTTTATTCTATAATTTTTTTAGTACATCAACAACTCTACTTACCGCTGACTTCATATTCGATTAAAGTGTGTAACACATAAAAAAACGGAGGGATTATTATATTTATCTCTCTCACTTAACTTTTGGTCCTAATTCAAGAGATTTGAAGGAAAATTTCAGATACAGATAAATGGGTAATAATTAGTAAATTTGCACTTAATTTGACCGGATGTCTCAAAGATAGAATAACTACCACTTGAGTCATTACGAAGTACTATATTTGAGAAAGCAGCTAGTAACCAAAAATTCATGTACTCGTATATAGTTGATTTATACTTACAAGTACTATTTTATGTTTTTTCTTATAAGGTAAGGACAAGATAAAGATAAATACTCCGTATCCCGAACGAGCAACCCTAGCAACGTACGGGATTGAATTATTGTAGGGAGTCACATATTAAAAACATTGCAGCAGTACTGATCTGAATTTTTCACGCATGCACATTGTCAGATTTCGTGACCCAAATTTGCAAGTTAGGAAAAGTATTTATTCCAAGTAGTAATAAAATTAAAAAAAAAAAAAGCAAACAAACCAAAGAATGAATAGGTCCATTCAATGGGCTTAATGAGTCAAACCTAATTACCTAAATGCCTTGTACGTTATTGGTCAACATTGTCAAACTAACGGTGTTCTCTTACCAACTTGCATGCATATATATAAGATAACGCCTCTTAGCATGAAAATCCATCTACAACCTCACATTTCTTCTCCTCTTATCACAACTTTCAAGAGACCCAAATTCATAAAAGTATTTTCATACAAAATCATTCATCTCTTATACACTACCCCTCCAAATTCGTTCTTAAATACATGTTTATGGCTACATTGCAATCTTCATCAATATTGGCTTCGGGGTCGTCTATTATTAGATCAGACCATGTTACACATTCTTTTATTCGTTTCGTGGCTCCTAGTCTCCAAATTAGATCTGCCTTATCAATCCCTAAGTTAACGAAAAGTAAGGTTTTAAAAGAGTTGTCCTTGAAAAATACCTTCTTGAAGAAAAACACAAATATAAACTTACCATTGGAGAACACAATTACTCAAGACGAAGTTAGTCGTGAGGATAGTGCAACATTGGAAACCGTTAAGTTACATGTGATTTTGGATGCTGTATTAGATAGGATAGAGATGCACCAAAATATAGGTGACCAACGTGATAATTGGAACTCCTTGTTGTTAAACTCCCTCAACATGATCACCCTAACCGCGGCCACCATGGCCGGCATGGCAGGGTTCTCCGGTGAGCCTATCTTGGGGTTAAACGTAGCTTCAACCCTACTCTTTGCCGCGGGCACTGGCATTCTTTTGATAATGAACAAGATACAACCTTCTCAACTAGTCGAGGAGCAAAGGAATGCGGTGAGGTTGCTTGAGCAGCTTCGAACCAAGATACAAACCATTATTTCTCTTCGGTCACCAACTCGTGAAGATGTAGAGGATGCCATGGAGAAGGTGTTAGCCTTGGATAGAGCATATCCTCTTCCTCTTCTAGGCGCGATGCTAGAAAAGTTCCCCAATACGTTCAAGCCAGCCATGTGGTGGCCTTCAAAGAAACACATGACTCAAGAACATGGCAATGATAGTAGTACAAAACAAAACTTGTTTGACAAGAAAGAGGAAATAGTGAATGGATGGACAAAGGAGTTGGAGGAGGAGATGAAACAAATTGCCGGAGTTATAGATAAGAGGGATACCGAAGATTATGTTAGACTAGGGAGCAAAGCATTGAAGTTCAACAAAACCCTAGCCATGTCCGGCCCAATCCTTATGGGGATTGCCACCATAGGATCAGCTTTCGCGGGGCATGGTGGTCCATGGGGTGGACTTGTGGCGGGTGTTGCAGGGTCCTTAGCTAGTGTGGTGAACTCCATAGAGCATGGTGGACAAGTAGGGATGGTATATGAGATGTATAGGAATTGTGCCGGAACTTTTAACCTATTAGAAGAAAAAATTGAGTCCACCTTACAAGAGAAAGATCTAGGAAAAAGAGAAAATGGTGAGTTGTTCGAGTTGAAGGTGGCTTTGCATTTGGGAAGGAGCTTGTCCGAGCTTAGAGATTTCGCGGCAGCTACAAGCTCCTCCGGTTCATGTTCAAGCGAGTTAGGGAGTCCCAAAGGCGAATTTGCTAGCAAGCTCATTTAAATCTCTATTGCATGCAGTTTAACTGTGTATATTTAGCTAGCTACAGCTTAGTTTGATGATGATCATGTAGTGTATAGAGAACTAGTTGATCAAGGTGTTTAACTAGCTTAGAATAGGATCGATATTTATTTATTCTTTCATTGATTCATTAAGTTACATTGTACACTTTTGTATAGGCTGTACAATGAACTTTCACCCTACCAACATTGTTTACTTGGTAAAATATCAAAATTAATTTGTAGTTCATTCTTTGAATAATCTTTTAACCTACAAAGGTTTAAGTTAAAAACATTGCAATAATAATACTTTATTCGATTTTAAAATTTTTCTTGTGTAAAGTGTAATACCATCACTCTTTTACAATTTTTTTTTTTGGTTAAAACACCCTTTTATAATTAGGATTCTAAGTTTTGAACAATTTCATTTCTCAACGTACCGATTTATTATTGGATTTAATATCAAATTATATAATGTGATAGATTGGCAGGTAATTATATACTTATATACGTAGTACTCCGTATGGTACTACCAAATAAGCTCTCATTGAGTCCAAGCTACATACAATATTGTAACTAATTTATAATTACTTAATACATACATTTTTCATCAGAAAGTTGCACCTTTTGTTAAGCTTGCATGTTAGCTTAAAAAGTATAATATTAAATACGAGTATAATATCTATCTATATTATTATTAAAACTCCAAGGCAAGGAGCCAAGGAGTGTCATCGCCATTGTCACTTTTCTTTATGTTATTCTACCCCATCATAATTTAAACTTGCAACATAATTGAATTCTGGATCTAAAACATCAGGCTTAATTAAAATTTTAGAATATGTCATTGTCACTTTGAAGGGCTAGACACGATGACAGGGAAAGGAATGATAGAATGATTTATATATAATGGAGCGCCAACAAAAGTTAAAGTTTAAAATTTGTCTAATGAGATATGATACGCAAATTCATTTTTTTTTTTTGAAAGTTTCTTTAGTTGTTTTGACACTTATATGTTTGTACTCTACGATATTGATGGAGTCTAAGGACTATACATACTCGTATACTTATCAGGCACAATTTTGATTGGAGTATATTTTACGGAGTCCACCATTAAATGAAAGAATTACAAACATCCAAATTCAACACTTCCCACATCCAACTACATTCGGGAGAGAGTTTTAAAACTGATAGTGTATATAACATATTCTTGAGCATGTCCTCAATCAAAAGCTTTTGAGTTGGTCTTTTAACATAATGTTGAAGCCAACATGACACAAAGATAAAAGTTAAATCTCATATCTACCTCACCTTTCAAAGTGGAGTTTATATATTTAATTTTGCGCTTAGTATAAGGAGGCTAAAGCTGCATCCACACTTCAAACCCAACAACTCTTGTGTGAGGAGACGTGATAAAGTATATAATTAATGTACGTAGTACTTATGAGTCTCAACCACTAGCTTAAGGTTAAGCTTCAAAACAATAAAGTATTACCTCCGATCCCTTAATTAGCCTCTCACATCTAAAACGAGTCGAGCACATTGTTGTTACCTAAATTGTGTACATTAATTATGCTAATTAGCAATTCACAACTACTACATAGCAATATTGAAAATTGATCGAGAACCCTTATAGAGCTTATTTCGAGCTAATCAAATATATGCAATACCTAATGGTTGGCCATATCTATAACACTTATTATATAAATCTTAAGAAGAATTCAATATAACTTATTATGTGAAAGTGTCTAAAGTCAACAAGTGTTAATTAAAAAGAAGCGGAGGAATTGAAATATACATTAGAAAATAGTACTTGATCTTTTGGTAATTACTTCGTATATGTTAACATTAGGTAATTTAGGTCCTTCAGTTGTGGCATATGTTTTAGTAGTTCATAGCAGTATAAATAAGTGATAATAGATTATTTGTCTACATGCCATGGTTTAAAAAAGATAAGGTAAAAATAAACCTACCATACTTCAATTAAGAGTTTAAGAGAGGAGAAATTCCTTCTAAAATAAGTTTGGTGAGAATTTAAGGGGGTCGCTGATAATTATTCGTATCGCGGGTGGGCCAGGTGTGTTGGCTAAAGGGGGGTGTTAAGCCATCCACCTTATATGTTTAATGTGGTACTTTTCCATTAGTTGAATGACTTGAATCTTGCATCAAGTTACATGGGCATTCTATATGCTCATGCTACTTAAGCACTACCATATAGGGGGCATTTACGTCAAATATATAGACCTAAGCCAAAAAAGTAAAGAGCAGTTCAAAGTGCATGTTCTAAATTTTACTACTGAGTACATTAACATTGAACAAACCACATCCCTACAATTCTACAAAGATTATAATCCGTAATAGTTGAATATTAGATTATGAAAAAGTCTTACACTTTACCCTAAGCTAGAATTTAGTTTAGACGACCAAGTCAATAATTAATTCTATATTAAATTAGTCAACATCCTCATATTTGACTAAGCTTCCAATTTTTAATTTTTTTAGTTCATTAGTTAGTTGTATAAATAATTAACAACCCCAACTAATTGATCTTCAATCATATTCACAATTCATCAACAAAAACCCCAAAAAACGCAGAGAAAACCAGAATTAATATTCAATTTTTAGATTTTCTAAACATGGTTTCTTTACTAACATCCTCTAAAACTTTTGTTACATCAAACAAATTCACCATAAAAAGTGCAATTATTGGTCCTAAATACATTAAGTACCCCAAAATCACAGAACCAAAACTACCAAATCAAGCTCAAAAACAAAAATTCATCGATGATCTTAATAAGCTTACAAACCTTCCTTCAAAAGAAGCTAAACCAATTACCATCACAACCACGAAAAACACGAAAGAAACTATCAAATTATATACAATCTTAGTAGGATTGAGATGCATCAAAACATCGGTAACCAACGTGAGAATTGGAACTCCTTGTTGTTAAACTCCGTTAACATGATCACCTTAACCGCGGCTACAATGGCCGGTCTAGCCGAGGCTAGTGGACCTCACGGGTTAGGGTTGAAGGTGTCGGCAACATTACTCTTTGTTGCGGGCACAGGGATTCTTTTAATAATGAATAAGATTCAACCATCTCAGTTGGTAGAAGAGCAAAGAAACGCGGTAAGGTTGTTCAAGAGGCTTCAAAATAGTATCCAAACTACACTTTCTCTCCGAACACCAACTCAAGAAGATGTCGAGGAGGCCATGGCGAGCGTGTTAGCCTTGGATAGAGCGTACCCGTTGCCTCTCCTAGGCGCCATGATCGATAAGTACCCCAAGAGTTTAGAGCCTGCTGTGTGGTGGCCGTGTAAGAAACGATCAACTTCATCACTAAAACATAGTTCTTCTAAAGGTAATGAACAGAATGGATGGACTAGGGAGTTGGAGGATGATATACGAGAAATCGTAGGCGTGACAAAGAGCAAGGATGTTGAGGATTATGTTAGGCTAGGTAACAAGGCATTGAAGTTGAGCAAAATGTTAGCTGTCTCGGGGCCACTTCTGACCGGTGTTGCGGCCATGGGAGCTGCTTGTTTAGGCCATGGTGGACCGTGGGGAGGGCTCGTGGCGGGTGTGGCGGGGTCTATGGCAGCTGCAGTGAATACTATAGAGCATGGAGGACAAGTAGGAATGGTGTTTGAGATGTACAGAAATTGTGCTGGTTTTTTTAAGCTCTTGGAAGAAACTGTAAAGTCTACCTTGGAAGAAGGAGACTTACAAAAGAGAGAAAATGGAGAGGTTTTCGAGTTGAAGATGGCTTTGCATTTGGGTCGGAGCTTGTCTGAACTCCGGGAATTCGCCGACAAATCAAGAAGAAATGGAGGTTCTGTTGATGAGTTTGCTAGCAAGTTGTTTTAATCTGTTAGTTGTTGAGCAATTGTAACTAGAGAATTCTTTTATTCTTTCATAAATTTAGTTTGTTAATGTATGTTTAGGTGATTTTGTTGATGTATGAACATGAAATTGTATATAGCACACGTTTAGGGAAATGAAAATACTTGCATGTCATCAGTTGGATGTACATATAAATGTGAAAGCAAGTTTATGTATGAATGCAAGAGAAAAATAACATAACTTATGATTAAAAGCCGTAAAGATAATTGTAAATGACTAACTTGTTAGCTTCCTAACGAAACACTTTTGTAAATCTCTACAAAGAAAATGGAGAGGTTTTCGAGTTGAAGATGGCTTTGCATTTGGGTCGGAGCTTGTCTGAACTCCGGGAATTCGCCGAAAAATCAAGAAAAAATGGAGGTTCTGTTGATGAGTTTGCTAGCAAGCTCTTCTAGTCTTCAAGTCACCATGCATGCATGCACATATATATAGTTGTAAAATTGTAATTAAGAAATTCTTTCATTCTTTTATTTGTAAAAAGGTTAAATTGAAATTGTAAATCAACATGACATTCTAAATCACTTCTACAGAATTAGATGCAAAGATTTTAGCCATCACACTTTAATTATAAAAGTTAAATTTGCACGTAGATGCATGTGATTATGTGGATGCTAGTGTAAAAGTGTATTCCACAAAAACACTCTTTAAGAGCAGCATATTTGCACATTCGAATCCGTAATTTAAAATTTCTTCAAACCATGTTGCATTGTTACGAGAAGCCAATAATTGAATCGATCTACAATTAAATTAAAACAAACGTTAGTATGTAGGTTGTTTGGTTTTGTTACTGGAAATTCTGTATAAAAGCCTCGAATGTTAATGCATATGCACATATATTTGGGAGTTACTCCGTAATACATACCTCCTCCGTTTTATAATAATCGCAATAATTTAACCGACATACATGTTAATGCATAATTTTGACCATTAATATTTGTAATTAGGTAGTATATATTATCACGAAGCTAAGTATAAAAGCTTGATCTAATGAAAATATACATAAAGATTAATCCAAAAATGTTTTACGCGGTATATTGATAAAAAGTAGAGTCAAAGTAAATGTTGCGATTATCACGAAACAAAGGAAGTATTGATAATAAAAGAAAACTTCCTTTGTAATTTTTACTTGCAACATTATTTTTTAGTGTACACTATTCTTCCAATTCACTGTAATTGTATCAATCTCTTGATTTATACGAAGTATATACTTAATGAAAAATATAGTCATATATCGAGGTAATTTTGTTAGATCCGTCTTAGTGTATATTTTATTAAAATTTATTTAGTAGTAATCCTAAAATTATTGAGGACTATTGTATCAAAATATTTTGAATTGTTGAGATTATTTAAATTAATTATCATAAATCATCAAGCTAGGCTAGTCTCGAGTAGGTTTGACTCGTACTTGGCCTGGTGTTGTCCGAGATCTTAATGAGCCACGTGTTATAGCTATATTTGGCTTGGCTAGCAAGTAATGTGAAGAAGAGAGACAACTAGGTCAATTAGCCTAATTTAAGCTAAGAGACACGGTCAACCGAATATTTTATACTAGTACGTACTGTTACAAATTATGAAAATTACAAAATTATATATAATATTCCCTTCCTTCCCTTTTGTTTTTTATGTTTTCATTTAAGGTGTTCAGTTTTATTCTCTACATTTAGTTTCTTTCCTTTTTTAGTCATAAATTTTGAACAAAATTATCCTTACTTTACAATATAAATACTCAATTGTCATGTCCTTACTTTTCCATGTGCAATTGTATTTTTTGTCTTATTTTAATGGTTTTTCAATACTCATCATTAATACTTTCTCTTTCCTCTCTCTCAATTTCTTAATAAACGATGCGCATAATTCCAAACGTCAAAAACAAAAGGGAACGGATGGAGTACTCCATAGTAGTTATCAATCAAGTACGTAATTAGTGGATTAGTCTAATTAATTATTTATGTCCTAATTTAAATGATTTAACAAATAAAAAAAAATCAAGTGTATGTTCGGGTCAGTTGTTCCAGTCATTTTCGATTTGGGTCAGTTTGAGTCAATTTATTTGGGTTAAAATCAATTCGAGTTTGATTCGTGTTTTAGATTAGGGTATGATTGTTTCATCTATCTAATTTTATCTTATTATTTAGAAAAAATAAGTGCAAATTAAATAAGATAAGTTTAAAATATACAAAATAAAATAAGTTCAGATAATATAAAAATATATAAAATAAGTATAGACAAATTAAGTTCAAAAAATTTATAAGTAGTATAAAACAAGTTAAGACTACGTAAAAATTTCAAATAAGTTAAAAAAAAAAGTTCAAATAAAATAAAATAAGAATTCAGACAATTAAAATAAAGCAAAATAATTTCATACAATACTACATTAATTAATCAAAGTAGTTACCAAACGGAGTAATTTCAAGTCCAAACCAAGTACTAGATTGTGTAAATGGGTAAGAGTACATCAATATTGTTAGGTCTAGAAACCCCTCTTAGAAAGTGACTGAAAGTCGAAGAGATAGCCAACATAACTATTGTTTACTATACTTATCTGTCTATTTTATTATAATTGATACATTATTCCACTTAAGTCGAGTCTTTTATGTCTATAATTACATTGAAATATATACACCTCCATACCAATTTCCAAGCACTAACGTGTCAAATATAAAACCTTGACATGATGATGGCAATTAATTGTAATTATAGGCTCAAAGTATTTACTTGAAGTCTCAAACTTAGAATTAAGAACAAATCAGAATGTTTAATTTTATACCAATTACCCCCTCAAATTGAACGTTGAAGAGACCAAACCAAAGCCCCCCCCTCCCTCAAACCCAAAGACATGGATAATTGAATTCATTAAATATATGAAAAAGTCTAACCTATCATAGCTCAATGGCCAAGTCAAGTAATCCAATTTGTGCTACTAGTCAACATCTCAAAAATTATTTTTTTATTTTAGATGAACCTTTGAAAAACAAGTATAAATAACAACCCCAATCCACCGTCATAAATCATAAACATATACAGAGTACAAAATCATCAAAAAAAAAAGTTCAAAGGAAAACTAGACCATTTTTTTTTCCCAACTTTTATTTATACACAAACACAAAAACAAGATCATTCAAACTCAAGATCTTCAGACAACATGGTTGCCTTACAAACATCAACAACTCTTTCGTTATCATCGATAAACTCGGTTTCTTCAAAGAAATCTATGATCACAAGTTCAATTAGTGGTCCAAATTACTTAAGGTACCCCAAAATTACAGTCCCAAAACTACCAAATCATGCTCAAAAACAGCACCTTATTGAACAGCTTGATAAGCTTACAACAAACCTTCCTTTAAGAGATGCGAAACCAATTACCATCACAACCACGAAAAACACGAATGAAGCTATCAAATTATATACAATCTTAGAAGCCGTTAGTGATAGAATTGAAATGCATCAAAACATCGGTAACCAACGTGTGAATTGGAACTCGTTGTTTTTAAACTCCGTTAACATGATCACCTTAACCGCGGTCACAATGGCCGGTCTAGCCGAGGCTAGTGAGCCTCACGGGTTGGGATTGAAGGTGTCTTCAGCGTTACTCTTTGCTGCAGGCACCGGGATCTTATTGATTATGAACAAGATCCAACCTTCTCAGCTAGTCGAGGAGCAAAGGAACGCGGTCAGGTTGTTCAAGCAGCTAAAAACTAAGATCCAAGCCACACTTTCTCTCCGAACTCCTACTCAAGAAGATGTTGAGGAGGCCATGGCGAAGGTGTTAGCCTTGGATAGAGCGTACCCATTGCCTCTCCTAGGCGCTATGCTCGAAAAGTACCCCGAGAGTTTAGAGCCTGCTGTATGGTGGCCGTCTAAGAAACAATCAACTTCATCACTAAAACATAATTCTTCCAAAGGTAATGAACAGAATGGATGGACTAGGGAGTTGGAGGATGATATACGAGAAATCGTAGGCGTGACAAAGAGCAAGGATGTTGAGGATTATGTTAGGCTAGGTAACAAGGCATTGAAGTTGAGCAAAATGTTAGCTGTCTCAGGTCCAATTTTGACTGGTATCGCGACTGTTGGAGCTGCTTGTGTAGGTCAAGGTGGACCGTGGGGTGGTCTTGTTGCAGCTGTCGCCGGGTCAATGGCTGCTGCAGTAAACACCATTGAGCATGGAGGGCAAGTAGGAATGGTGTTTGAGATGTACAGAAATTGTGCTGGTTTTTTTAAGCTCTTGGAAGAAACTGTAGAGTCTGCCTTAGAAGAAGGGGACTTACAAAAGAGAGAAAATGGAGAGGTTTTCGAGTTGAAGATGTCTTTGCATTTGGGTCGGAGCTTGTCTGAACTGAGGGAATTTGCCGATAAATCAAGAAGAAATGGAGGTTGTGTGGATGAATTTGCAAGCAAGCTGTTTTGATCATGCATATAATAGTAGTGAAAATAGTACAGTAATTAGGAAATTCTTTCATTCTTTCAACAGTTCAAAATTTAGATGATTAATATTCCTTAAAAAAAGGAATGTTTGTAACACTGTATATCAGTAAGTATAGCCTAGTTTAGGTGATCTTGTACATGTAGGAATGAACATGACATTGTATAGCCTAAGTAGTAAGTACAGTAATTAACAAATTCTTTCATTCTTTTATCAGTTCACTATTTGAGTCTTATAAAACTGTATGTTTTGTATTTATAAAAACAGTATTGTTATAATCACTCATGATTTGTTAGCAGCTTATCATACCAAGTTCTCAACTTTTGCCTTTCGGAGGTATCCTTATAATCCATATCACTCTTACAACTAGGCATCCATTTATGAAGCCTAAGACAAAACATCCCAAAATACTATTAGGCTATACTAGGCAAATCTGATCGGACTTGATCATCTCTACTTTCATCCTGGTTAAGCCATCCAAAAAAATTATTGACTACCCTAATTTAATTTAAGTAAATAAACAATGGACCTCTTATGAAAAACAATCAAATCTCATTTGTTAGGTTGTTAGACTTGAAAAGACTAACTCAGACCTATATTATTCGATCATTAAATGAAATCTCTTCACCCAGTCCGATCCGAATAATCCCAAAACCCATAATTTATGTTTATAGTAGTAATTTCTATTATACAAATCAAGGCGTGAGGTAGAGGTATATCGGTGTCTACTTGAAATACCTTAAATTCCCTTAGCTTTTTTTCTCCCTTATAAATTGATTAGTGTATGTAAGTCTAGAAAACTTAAAACACACATTACGTGCATATAGATCTAGTTATTGTATTAAGATAAGCATATTGCCAATTTAATAAAAACAAATCAACTCAACTTAAACCAAAAATCAATCTAAATGAGTCTTATTCTATCCGAACCCGATCCAAACAACACATTTGCCACTGTCAGGCTCTAACATTTTACATTTTCTACTTTCCTATGGCTCACTATAGTCTATACCAACAACAAAAATATAAAATAAAATAAAATAAGAGCCCCTGAGCCGCCCAAACGAAACACCCAGAAATAGTATTGCCCCGCATTACTCTTCTCCATTCCTCTCTTCTCCTTTCTCTCTCTCTCTCTTTCTCTTTTCATTCATCTGCATTTCTCACCCAGAAAAACCAGAGAATTACATAACAAACAATTGAATAAAGATGATACATCTTCTATACACAGTAATCTTCATTGAAGCAGCCATAATTTTGCTGCTACTTTTCAAAACTCCATTAAGAAAGCTTGTAATTGCTGTTCTTGACAAAATCAAACGTGGTCGTGGTCCAATTGTCATCAAAACTGTCTCTGCTACTATCGCCATTGTTTTCTTTTCCACCATTTATAGCACTCTTAAGATCCAACGTCGTGCTATTGGAGAAGATGGTGGGCCCGATACTCTTAATCCCACTGATCAAGTCATCTTTTCCAGGCATCTTCTTGAAGCTTCTCTTATGGGTATTCTTCAATTCTCTTTATTACTTAATTACTTTTTCTGGGTTTGTTTTGATTTTGTCCTGTTTTTGGTAATTTGCATTGAATTTTGATGATTTTTTGGGATTAAACTTTGGGTTATTGATGAATGACCTTTTGATTATGGTTGGTTTGATTGTTTTATGAATTTTTTGTTTGGTTGAATTGTGAAATATTGCATCTTTTTGAAGATATTTTGTGGGTATTGATCACAATTTTGTCTTTTTGTCCCAATTATTTTTGGGTCGGTTTAGATTTTTATTTTTTGCCCATATTATTTGGCATTTAAAATTTGGGGTTGATGGGTTCTCTGAATGTGTGATTTTGACATTTTGTTGTTGTCAATATTGCATTTGGCTACAATATTGAAAACTCCGATGAATGCCTTATTTGGTGTTGCTATCCTATGAATTTGAGAAATTGGATTGATTTGCTATGTTTTAGCAAAAGATTGCCAATGCTAATTTGTATTATACTTCTATGTTGTATAGTATATGGTTTTGTTGCTATTTATAATTCAAATTATTGAATGAATTCTCCATTAGTTTGTTGCCAAATATCGAATCTGAAAATCAGACTAGTTTTGTTTTGTTTAAAGTAAGTAGAAACATATCTTGGATACTGCTGTATGGATGGAATTTAGGAGAGCATTGTGCTGTCATTCTCTATGGTTTAGTGCAACATTGCCATTGCTAATCATTCTTGGGATGCCAAAGTGAGACAGACAAGGCTATGAAGGCCAGTCATTATTGAAGATGGAGCTTGATATTCTAGTTTGAGATTTTTGTGATTGAGGACCATGACATTCTTCTTGCAAAGTGACCTCCTCGATCAATTCCTAGCTTAGTATTGGAAATGGAATTTGAATTTAGTGTGGTATCTCAATATACAATACAAAGTATAAGTTATTAGAACCTTTGCTTCATGTCATTGATTGTTCCAAACAACATTATTCAGGATACGGGGTTTCCATATATGTTTTGCTGTTACAGTTTGTTGGACTTATTAGCTTAGTTGATAGCTTCTTTAGGACAATCTTAAGTGATTTCATATAGAGTACCATTTCATTATTCACGCTCTCGTTGTAGATTACTAACTGTAATAGTCATTTTATGTGATGTTTTTTTATTGCTGCAGGATTCATCTTGTTTCTGGCACTAATGATTGATCGTCTGCACCACTACATCAGAGAACTTCGTTTGAGGAGAAAGACCATGGAGGCTGTGAAGCGAAATGACATGAAATCTGCTGGCCCTAGCTCTGAGGAATTGAAAGCCAGAGAGCAGCAGGTAGGCACATTTAAAGATATGATTAGGCAGCTGGAATCAGATCTTGAGAGCAAGGTTAAGGAAGCAAGTACATCAGAAGCTACTGTTGAGGCTCTTAGGAAGCAATCGGAGGGGCTACTTCTTGAATATGACCGTTTGTTAGAAGAAAACCAAGAACTTCGGAATCAGTTGCAGACGCTGGACCACAAAATATCACTTTCCACTGGCAAGAAGGACTCGTAATGGATACTTTGCAACCCCCTGTGAAAGATTTTGTAGGCTCCTTGGTCTTCCTTTGAAGCTACACAAGTTTTTGATTTTGTTCATTATACTTTACATCATTGTGACACTTGAGAGAGCAAGATGAGCAAGATATAGGACGAGAAATACTGACACGCGAAGGAATACAAAAATAGTAATCCTGAAGTGTGTGTTCGCTCATTACCATTATGCATAGGTTTTTGATAGTTTTCTTCTTCCTTTTTTTTAATATTCTTTTTCCTGTTACTATTCAGTTTTATGTTTATTGATACATAGAGTTCTGTTACTTCAATCTTCCAGCATGTCAGACTCTGTTATGCTTGCTCTTTCTGCTAGAAGAGATTCTCAACTTACTAATTTATTGGTTGATGGTTCTTATTCATCTTTGTGCTGCTGCCTCGTTCTTTTTTTTTTTTAATTTTTTTTTTAAATATTATTCTTCCTGGTTTAGCAGATAATTATGGTTGGTGTATGGAATATTGTGAATCTTGGATACAATGCTTAGGCATTTGATGGCCTATTCATACTTGTATCTTTGAATTGTCTTGAGAAGGGCGTGAACTAGATTGCTGATAGTACTTGAGGAGATACTCCCCGGGGATTATAGATATGGGCATATTCACCTATGTGTGTCGTAGAATGCATCAATGCATGCAACTCTGCCGAATTTGTGCCCAATGCATAAAAGCATGCTGTTGCATATGATATAAGACATGGATTGCTTACATTACTTGTATTTATCAAGCCATCGGATCCTGGGAGAAGCTTAAAATAGGATCATTTCTGCGAAGCAGCTTAGCAACATTTAGCACAGTAAACAACAGCAGTCCGATGAAAACTAGGAGCGAGAGTCCTGAGGTTGTGAGCATCAAAGCTGCTGCTGCATGGCTCTTTACCTCCTGTGCATACTCTGCAGATGCAAGTGCTAGCATGGTTAGCGGGGAGGAGTATGCCCACCATGCGATGTTATACCTCCTCATCGATTTCTTGAATAAGGTTGGTCTGCTCGCCTGAATTACAAGCCAACAGATTGAAGTCAACATATAAAAAAAAGTAAATTTATGATCTGTTTATGTTTTTTGTAGTCAAATTAAATGACGAATGTTCTGATCCATTTACATCAGATGATTCAACTTTAAGGAAGATTAACTTATCTCCAGCTGTAATTAAGCTGCCACTTATATAAGACAAAATAAAGATTATGTTCTTGATTAGCATGTACATATAAATATACGCGTATTACCACTGCCTTAATCTTTCTTGTTGCTTCTAATTTGAATGATTCCATTAATCATGTACTGTTTAAGTTAATGTAACGGCCTGTACACGCAGAGTTAGATTGTTTCTTTTTCCCATATTTTAAATTATTATTGTATCCTTCTGTGTTAATCTTTAGTTAATCGATGCCTATGACCGGTGGCTGAAGGTTTGTTCTGCATCACTGCTAGTTTTTAGTTTATGGTTTTGAGAATCCAAAAATAATTAGTATTCGGAGTACTAAGCTAGTCGTTTTGTGTTTCTTTTTGTTATAATCAACTTGATTATCTGCTTCCTCAGCCTATCGATGCAAGGCTTTCCAAACTGCAGGATGCAAGATCTGTTTTTGAACCATACGGTTGCTCTTCGGTTGCCCTCCCTCTTCAATATGCAAAAACGATCACTGAAAAAGGTGAGACGTGGGCAATAGAGCAGCACCTCTACAGTTGTCCCTTCCTGTTAAGAAATCTTCATAACCTAGAGAAGTAAAAAAAATTACCAATGATGCAAAGAGGAAGAGTGAGAGAAAGAATAGCATCTTTGATTCAGTATTGTATGATCCGGAGATAGATTTCCAAGCCGTGCTAGCCATGCTTGGGACTGCGAGGAAGAGGAAGAAAACAGGACGGAGCATGGCAGGAAGGCGGTCTCCACCAGACAACCTTTGGTAAAGTGTGACGAATAGCACCAAGTAGTGAGCCATCCCTAAAGAGAACATGCAAACCGCACTTTCCTTCCATCCCATTTGAGCTGCGGCCCTAGCCCCCACTAGATTTCCTAGGACCGATAATTGGCTTGTAGGGTTTGCCACCATCGAGAGGAACTTCTTCTCGGTGGTGAACCATTGACCATAGATTTTTACATCGAGGGCTATGATTGGGATGGAAAATGCCCACCAGAGGATTAGATGGGGGATGGTCTTTGGTGCAATGGCGATAGGGGTGGATTGGAGGAGGAGAAGCCAAGAGGTCCAAGGGGCGTAAAGGTAATTCACATCCACATGGTGTGAGAGCTCTGCTTTCACCAAGTGGAAGTGAAAGAAGCATCGAAGGCCGTAGAAAAGGGAGAGTAATATTAGGATTAATAGAGAGATGCACCATAGTAAAAAGGATAACGACGATGGGAGAATGTGAAAGACATCTAGGAGAGGCGATGGCTTGTCACCTGTACTATGATTGTGGTTTTTAGTTTGGAGAAGGATTTTCCATAGGAGTGCTTGGCTTCCAAAAGCGAGGCTGATTCTAAAATACCCTGCATGGAGTCGAGCTAGAATAGGAGACAACGATTTCCTCGAGGAGAACGAAGGGTTACAATTTGCTCGCGGAGCTTTAGTAGTGGTGGAAGAATCGATAACTAGCTGAATAGAAGGGTGTTGTAGTTCGCTACCGGACATTTTGTTGTAGGGTGAATTTATATTAGAGGTTTATGTTTTGTTCTATTGCCTAGATGTGTGTTTATATAAGCTAACAAAAGGTTAAGATTATGACAAAGAGTATCTTTCTAGATAGTGACTAGGAAGAATTAAACCGATGTTCTCCCTCTTAGTTGGTAATTCAATATTTTCTGCATGATATGATATGTTACGTAACATTATTGTAGATTATATGTATAGTATACAGCAAGTAATTGAACAAAGTATATTCGTAGTATGCACCTTTGGAGCTAAATGAGTTTGAAACCTATGCCCAACTAGGGGGTTTAAATGGGCACAAATTGTAATTTTCATCAAAGTCAAAATGTTTTAAAAGTGACATAATGCTTAAATTATAGAAGTCAAACACTTTAAAAACTATAAATTATAGAGAATAAAAGAGCTCATGACAAAACTTATAGACCAATAAAAGAAGCAATGGAGGCCAACTTTTCGTGTACAATTTCAATATACAACTTTGTGATCAATATTCCTTTTGTATTTTAATTAGTTGGTACATAATTTTTATTATTAAAACATTAGCTAAGTTGATTCATATTTATCACTTTCATTAAATTTATGTAGCCAACGGCGTATTATAAAAAGTTAAGCATATTAGAAAATTTTGTAAACTGTATTTTCATCTTCTAAACAAAAGCAAATATTACATGTGACTATTAATTCCCTTTAGAGAGAGTAGTTGAGCAATTAAAACCGCACCTCATCTAGTCATAACAAATGGAGTACTTCTACGTACTTAATTAGTTAGAGACTTCATATTCTTTGCCCCTTTTAACTAATTTGGTCGTCGTAATAATGTTCCTAAATCTACTCAATCGTGTTACTGGACACAAATGAGTCTTTCATAAATAATGTTCAATTTAGGTTGCTTTACGTAGGTCACATTGAAGTGATTTGTCACTGAGTTGTTATACTTCGTATCTCATTATATTATCTACTAATAATGTACCCCTATATATATATACAAGTATTACCATTTTTTCAATAATTGTAACTATAAAAATATACCTGAAAGGCTGAAACATATGCAATAAGCCAATAATTAGATAGCTAGCATGATGAATTATCATTTAATCTAACAAAAACAAAATACTTCACATGCAAATTTTATGTGAGTAGATATTTTCAGTGTACAGCAAGACGTCTATTATAGTGATGTAATTTACTATACAAAAGTATCAAAATTATTCAAAAATAAACATTATTGATGAATATATACTACCCAATACTTTATTAACTTAACTAGCTAGCGAACATCCACAATAGTCGTCGAACACTTACTTGATTGCGTTATGCCCGAAAATTAATAACAGATCGAAACTACATTGTTTAGGCATATATAGGTGAGCCATCAATTAAACAAGGGGCTTTGCAAGTTGCTTGAGTGAAACCGTGACTATGACTAGAAAAGCTGAAGTAAAGGTAAAGAAAAACAAACCAATGGCTCACAATTACAAAGCACAATGACTCTATATGGTAAAGAGGCAAAATAAAGAACCCTTGGTATTTTTCCAACTAACATAAAAGTATAATGTGTGGTAAACTTTCATCTTTGCTAATTGCTCGAAATTAGTGGAGTTTCTATGGTTGTTAACTTTGACGTACTCATGTACTACATGTCTTTAAAAAACAATAATCATGTACTACATAATTAGTATAAACTCTATTATATCTATTCTATTAATTGGAATATTTTAATAATGTACATAAAAGCATAATATATATCTATGAGAATATAAAAAAAAAAAATCACGTACTACGTACATAGAAAACGAATAACTATAAGCTAGAAGAATTACTCCATATATTAAAATTAACTTTAAAACCACAAAAATAAAAAGAGCATAATTTTGAATAACGAAAGTAACATAAAAAGTATGACGTACGTTGTATGTCAAATGCTAATGCTGTTACATGGTCTTTAAATGAGTTGGACAACTTCCTCTTTTGGATGTTGTTTGAAAAGGAGACACAAACTTTGGTTATATTTGGTTTATATTTGTGCATTACCATTCAACTTTATATTATTTTGGCGTTATTGATCAATTCATGTAATATGACCCTTTGTTCCTAAAGAAAGTTAGTTGCCAAGATACTTAAAAGAAGTAACAAAATTAAAGTAAAATGTGTGGTCGTTCCCTAAGGTAGACATACAATATTTTAGTACTCAATTTATTCATCTATTCGTTCTAAGCTAAGGTTTACGTTATACATGAGTTTACACCTCATTTAGAATATAAGAATATTTCACTCTATAAACAATCGTACGCAGAGGTTGATCGATTAATATTTTCGACTAAGATACATTGATCATCAACTTGCTTGTTTGATTTGCATTAGATCTCTTACAAGATTCATTGCCATTAGAGGTTGATCGATATGCTAGGTGGCGATGATATGAGGGTGACATTAGTTACCTACATGGTTTTAAGAATCACAATTCGAATTACCAAATGCGAAAGTGTTATGTATTGTATTGTAATATATGTTATGCGATATTATCTGGTTACTAAGGACTTAGTTCTAAAGAATGTTGTTCGTAAGATGCTAGCAATCCTAAGCTACTAAGATTGGCAAAAAATTGCTTGAATTTTTTTTTTTTTATTATTTAGATGACATAAGATTATATAATTACAAGTAAAATCACAATTTATACAATAAGTATACATGCTACAAATTGTATCTCTACAACAATTTAACATATCAAAACTAACAAATGGAAGGTTCTGCTCAACGGATGAGCATAATAACCCAACTGTAAAAATGAGATTTCTACTTGACCAATTGGGCTTGACATTTTGGGCAAAAGAAAGGCCCAGCCCACTAGTAACATTTTCTGTAGTTTTGTTGCATCTCACTGTGATCCAATCTTCATCACTGGCCCAATTAGGAAATTCTTCCCAATCTGAATTTTCCACCAATTCCTTTATTCTCTCAATTGGAGATTTGGTAGATCCTACTTGAGCCTCATTTTTCTGGGCTGAATACGATATCTCCCAAATTCCTTGGTCCAATATACTGGTTGGAGTGTCTGAAATAGGCCCATGGTCTGGCCCAACATCTATTATAAAAGGATGCTTAAGGAGTTCAGCAACTGACCACCTTTCTTTTGGGTCTCTCTTCAAGCATTTTGACAAAAAGTCCGTGGCTTGATCCGATAAGAGGCCCGGTATTTTGATTTCGGGCATAGCACCCGAAAACCCGATATGATAGAGGGCTGAAAGTGGGTCTTGGCTGATATTGGGCCATGGACTCAGCCCAGTAGCCATTTCAAAAACAGTGCAGCCCAAAGCCCAAACATCGGACTGGTAGCTCTGCTGTTCGCCACGTGCCACCTCAGGGGCCATGTACATTGGGGTCCCACTTATCTCCGTAACGGACGAATTGAATCCAGCCATGTCATCAACCTGCTTGCAACACCCAAAGTCCCCAATTTTCACCCCATCATTTGTTACCAAAATGTTAGCACCCTTAATATCACAATGTACTATACCTTTAAAATGTAGGTACTCTAGACCTCGGAGAATTTCGCTGGTATACCGTCTAACCAAGGGATCGCTTAGGCTACCGCCTTTTTTCTGAATTGCATCAACAAGCGTACCACAAGAGGCATACTCTAGGAGAATATTGTACAAGACCTTACCATTCTCATGAGTAACATCATACCCTTTGTACTCGATAATTCGATCACATCTCAATCTTGAATGAATTTCTTGCTCCTTTCGAAGGGCATTTGACCTCGAATAAGCCATAGACTTGACCGCGAGTAATTCTCCACTAGGGAGGCACTTTCCTAGGGAGACAACGGCCGAGGAGCCATGGCCAATGGCCTTGCCTCTACTCCATTTCATTGCAAGCTAATAGGCTTTGTAGGAATTCAAAGAAGTTTTTTCTTTTCAAAGAAAGATAGAGCAATTATGATTCTTGTGGCGTTGGTTAAGGTTTGTTGTGAGATCCAATTGAAGTCATCATTTATATATTAAGAATTTGGTTGAAAAGAGAATTTAAAATTAATGATATTAATTACTAATTCTCTTGTCCAATGAGTGGCGTTCTTTTCTACTATACTCTATCCAAAATATGACGGCTCCTTTTAAATTTGAAGGGATCTTCACATGCCAAAAGCAAAGAATAAAACATAGGAGACGAATTGGAAGAATAGCATATTTAACATGGTTTAGGACGGCGGAAATTTAATTATTTTTTATTAATTTTTTTTAAAAAAATAAAATAATAATTTGCCCTTTCAAAAATTATGTTTAATGAAATAAAAAAAAAAAAAATATTCAAGTACATATTTTAATACAAGTAAAGAAAATAAAATATACCAATTATAAAAGTTATGCAAGTACATGCAAACCAAGACTTGAGTATGCAAAGGTGTTACCTCATTGGATAGCACACAAGAGAATATACTTTTGATTTATCAATGTTATTGGCTTTAATTATTGATTAAGAAACTAACATGATTGAAATTTCAAATTAGTTTACAATAAAATTGTGATTATTCTTTTAGCACCTCAATCTAGATTGAATTATGAGTAGAACGATTGATTTCGAATAGATGAGTTGTTACACTTTCTTTTTCTTTTCTTTTCTTTTTTTTTTTTTTTATTTTGAAAAAATACGTGTAAGTCATATATAACATGAAATTGATGATCCTCGTACTCTCAATGTCATAATACATTCAAAGAATGATTTTAGTTGAATTTTTATAGGACATTTCGTCTAATCTTATAGAAGAATCACTCAGGTCTCATGATAAGTTACTCCGTATTATAAAGTCCTCGTTGGTAATCTCGTACTCTAGCCTCGTACGTATACCAGCGAGGACTTTGTCTAGATTTAACATATAAGAGAGCCAATTTGGTGGGGTTAGGCAGGTACATGGAGCCAAGGCGCGGTTGCTTATAGAAGTGAATGATACTCCTCATTGATTTCTCACATGGCGGCACGTGAGCACGTGCTATGAGAGCTACGGCCAGATGACCTGAATCTATGTTGAAAATATTTCAGCTTCTAGCTGTACGTCCAAAAATAAAATGAAAACCATAGATTATTTCCTGTATAATTGGTAGACTTCTTATATTATAATCCTGATAATTATTTTGTACATTGTATTATAATTAGATGGCTTGTTTTGAGGAAATAATTAGCGGTAAAAAAATTGGTCCTAGGATATTAGAATAGACTGATTTGCGAAAGTCTATGTATGAGATCAGATAATTTAAACTACATTATTAGTCTTCTAATCATTAGGATTATAACCCTTTCATTGTTTCTTAAGATTAAATAACATGCAACGAATTTAGACTTGAATGTATATTTATTTTATGTCTGTACACTGTAGCACAAGTAGCTGCCAACTATAAATAATACTATTACGTACAAATGATGGCAAATCGGCTATTTTTAACGCGGTTTACATTATTTAATTTAGTTATAGTTCTATTGTTGATTTTTGAATAATGGCACACTTTATTATGAGTGTGATTTATAATGACGTTCTTCTTTTCGAGTCAAGAAATATATATATATATATATATATATATATATTTTTCAAAATTTATGGTGCAAGATTGTTAAAATAACTCATATAAAGAGCGTTTTTATCTTGTATAGTAGTATGTACTTTGTTAGAAATCAATGAATTGGACATATTTAAATTCCGTATATCTCAGTTGTGCAAGTTTCTACTCATTTTAAAGATAACAAGTCGAATGTCCCTCACAAAAGTGATGGTTGTAAGCAAAAAATATTTCTTCAAAGTAGTGAAAATTGTGTGAACAAATAAGTTGCAAAGAAAGAATACTGGAAGTGTAATTCTGAAGCAAAGTTTTGTTTTTGAGTTGAGATTAAAGACCAAAATAGTGAAATACACGTTGAAAGTCATCTTCTTTAACATAAGCCTAACGTTAGCACATAAAGTCTACCAATTTATTTACTCTGCTTTTCTTTTCTGTTTTTTCAACTGACTTTGTAGCTAATTTGTGAGTTGTGAATTTGATGCTCCCACTAAGAAGCAATAGTGTTGAACTTTTTATTGCTTTGTTGTTACTGATGCAAACTATATTAAAAGTGGGATTCAACTTTCAAATCTAGGGGCGAAGTAGCATAGATGTACTGAAACGCGACTGTTTGTATCACTTTGTGTACCTTATGTATGCTACTTTTTTTATATCGACCTAAGGGTTGAAATTAGTTTCATATATACTATCACAGAATCGAATAACAAGTTTTCTGTTTAAAACAGGTCTAGGCTAGGATGGCTGGGATTGGAAAATTGTAGCTGTACATGGACCATTTTACGTCTGAACCAGACTAGGCATGGACACAACCTACCCACCTCGTTCCATCACCGGCTCAAACCAATTCTGTTCCTGTCACACCAATCAGTCAGTCGTTGGATTTTGTTCATGATCACGATGTGAGTACTGTAGATATTTGGTCATCTTTTCATAACTTATCTAATGACTAAAGTAACTTCCATCTAAGAGGACGTCCATAACCCTGCTTTTCAAGTCGAGTTTTTTTAAAAGTATCCTAAGTTTAAAATTTTAAAGTTTCCTTTGAACTCTCTTAATTATCAACAGGAAGAAATTGTTCCTAAACTCTGATAATAGTTAGCACCACAGAAAAAAAAAATCTGAACTATCATACAGAGTAACGGGAGTATTGCTTTATAAGCGAAAGCTATGATGATTAGCCATTTGTATTGCTTTAACTTAAGTAAATAAAACTAACATTCAGATATTTACAAAAGCATATCTGCCATTCTACAGAATAGTTTGGTTACTTAAAGAAGCGAAAATTCCAGTCACAAGCTTACAAGGGAAACCATGGCTTAACACTAACTGAACACGCGAAATTAGGCATACAAGGCAATATTATGCTGCTTCAGCAAATCCAACTCGGAGATTTCCATAGTCGAATACAGTATGATACCGCCCCATGAAGATATCTCCCAGAATCCTGCATCCAGTTTCGAGTGCATGAGTTGAATGTCAAAATGTGTTCTCTCTATGAAAGTGAAATACATTTTCAAGTTGATGGATACAAAATACATACCAGATTGGTCCACGGGGAGGGGGAACATCCAAAGCGGTAAATCCACTGATACACTGTGCAGCAGAACCCTCACCAACCTTCAGTATGTACTGAGCATAAAAACACACGAAAGTGTTAGTGTAAGTGACATTATGCCAGTTTATTTGCTATCATCATTAAGCATTAACACGACAAGTTAATAGCGTAGAGTTAAAAGAAGCATGCATTGCTAAAAACTGATTTCCAATTTCGTATGTATGACCATTAAAAATAAATAAATAATAATAAAATAAAAATAAAATAAAAAAACCTCTTCCCAACATAGCAATTACAATGCATATAAAGCATACTTTACCTCCTCAGGTCTAAGTACGAACTCCTTCCCTGAAATAGTAAAGGCCACTGGGGGCATCTTAGAAACTTGGGAACAGTCAACACCTGATTGTCCCAATTGGTTTGGAATTCGATCACATAGCTGCGTGTTTTCAAATAGCAGCGTTAGAAAGAACAATAATTTCTAATCGAGAGTTATCTTACAACATTCTTGAGATGACCCACCTGATCGGCATAACTTATTACACAATCCTGAGTCGCATTCTGCTTGAGTTGACTCTCCATCCACACAACAGCCATCTCACAAGCAGAGCACATACCATCACGCAACCCATCAGGTGAACTGTCAGAATTCTGCTCATCTACCACAGACTCGATCCCCATGCTGCAAGAAGTAAATTAACCTCGTTCAATAATCACAAAATTTTCAATGATCCTACATCGTTTTATAGCCATGATTGACTCTTTTAATGTCACTAAAATGGATGTTTGACAATATTTCTATAAGATCATTTGAACATTCATTTTCACATATATTATCCAAAACATTTTAGGTTGCAACCTTCTGAATTTTCAATTTTACTACTTGTAAGAAAGGCATTGGCAAAGATATAAAAGCTCGACGTATAGAGTCAGCTAAAAGCATTTAAATTAAGGACTAAAGAAATACAATATATAATTTGATACATATCACAAAATAGAATGTTCAGTTCCAACACCTACCTAACACCATGTCTGCCATCATAAGCACAGACACCAATTTGAGAGCAGACCTTTTTAGGGGATTCCTATCAAAACAAAAAAAAAAAAAAAAAAAAAAAAAAAAAGGTAAAATCAGTAAGTACAACACAAAATTTCTACTCTAGTAGAAGTATTTATAAATGCCAAAAAAATGTAAGCGCCTAAATTTGGCACACGTTTGCAACTGTGTATGTATTGACAATTGAGCATCCATGGAAATGCAGCGAGTTTAACTGATAAAGAATTTTTTGTCATTTTCTTTTAACATTATATTATTAAATTTCAACTTAAGGCTACAATAGAGACAATCAAGAAAATTTGAATTGTTCATGTACTCCTTAGTCCTTGCCTCCTCTACCTCAGATTCTTCAGAAAAGTAGTTAGTAATTTTTACAGTCTTAGCAAGAGCATGAAGTACCAAACAAAAAAAAAATGTAACACGAAACTCAACTCACCTCTGAAAACAATAGATTGATCATTGTTTGTCCGTACTGCTGAACTACATTCTTACACGCCCGACTTGCAACACCTGAAGCCCCAATAGCCTCGTTTATCTGGGTAATAACGGTCTGCATACAATGTGACAGCCAAATGTGAAAAGTTACACGTAAATTCATCATCTAACCAGATAGTACCATATGCAAGTAGTTTTAACATACAATGCTAGCTCCACATTTCCTAAATAACATGCATATCCAGATGACACTCATAGAGCCATATCTAAAGTGGAGACTGTCATGCCAAAATTTGGTACGAATATACAACCTACGTTACTCTGACTCAATTATTGGTGTTAAACATTAGCGTGCAAGTATCATGCAACAGAATCAGCTATTCACAAATATTTCCATGAGCTTCGAACCAATTTAAGTGTCAAGTTTACATACCCATATCGCAGTGTCTAGGATCAGACATGAGTATTTAAGTAAATTATCGAGTCCAAGTAACATAGTGTACAACATCAGCAAGCGTGAGGCTAGGAGCCTAGGGCACCCATCTTGTAGAGTTACTATATAGTGACATTACAGATGACAAAGAAGACTAACCGTAGGGCCAGCCAACAAAGATGTTCCAGAATCTGCAATAGCTGCGCATCCACCAGAGCAGTACCCTACAGATAACAGCAGAGTCCATCAGCATCATAATTAACAAAACAGAGGAATTTTAAAACAATTGACAAGTTCCTTAATGTTGAAGTGTTTATCTTGTTGTTAAGAATTTAGTCCAATAACTCCACTTTCCCACCGCTAATAATTGTTATAATTGGCCAATGCCTGCATTTTATAGTAACAAGATGCATACCTGTAGTTTTACCATTGATAAGAACATCACCCATATCAAACTGCCAACAAACAGATTATTGAAGTAAGATCCATGAATATATTTAATTTGTCCAACATAAACTTTTCACAAATCAAACAGATACCTGCCAATAACCCTTCCTTGTTACAGGAGCATATGTGTGCTTGCCTTTAAAGTGCTTTGGGTCGACCCCTCCAAAGACAAGTTCACCACCTTCGTTGTCTTCTTCTTTACGGTTAAGCCAAAATGAAAATACAGGCTCCTTGATAAGCCCTTGCTTAATCATATTGTACCTTGAACACAAGTATTGTAAAATTAGTTTTTCATTATATTGAAATGACAACTGCCCCAAACTATATATCCTACTTATGATGAGTGTAAGTCAAATTAATATGTTATTGTACTTAATTATATTGTACAAGATAAAGTACTGTATAAGACAATAAAGGGATATGATAACATATTTTTCCTTTTGGCTTTTGACATTAAGGTATTTCAAAATCAATTGTCTATGATTCTCTTCGATGCATAGAGAAGATTATATATACGAGGAAAAGATTATGATTGTAGTTCATGGGGTAACTGCAAAACTTACCAAACTGGAACAGCATTCCCAACTGCTATTTCTTGGAACCCTAGTCCAAGTATCCCATCAAACTTGGCAACCACGAATGTGATGCTAGGCTCTCTAGTGGTTTCAATGAATTTCTGAGAAATAAACACAAAGTTATCAAAAGATGACTAATTAGCCAATTACCACTAAGAACTGAAGTTAAGTTGATTCTACTTGCCTGGTCCTTTACAACAAGGTCACCGACCTCCACGTTATCTTCACTGAAGAAACCAGATACAGATCCAGAACCATATTGAATGGCAGCAGATTCTCCTGCATTGGATATAGTCAAGAATTAGATCCATGAGAAATCTCAACAATGATCAGTATGATGTTAAGAAAAAAACAAAAGGATACATGCTCATGTTAGCAGAAAATAGTCAATTACATATTAACGATCCGATCATAATTTACACATAAGACAATTACTCGTATAAGTTTATAACGGTATAATATTATGATACAGCACTGGACTTCTTATACAGTGTACAGAGTAGTGAGTAATTCTCCTTTTTTCTGCTAGTCTGTTCATTATCATTTGTAACATTCCTATCAATACTCCAGCAATGGTACCAAAGACAGAAAATAGAATCCCAAGGGAATCAGAAATATATATCACCTTGCTACAATTCAAGCACACACTCGCACATGAGTACAACAAAAACATACCAGAATACAGGCAAATAGCGCAGAGACAGTCATTATCATTTGTAGAGGTATAAAGTTGTAAAGACTGAAGTGATAATCCTAGAACCCTGTAATCTATAAACGGAATAGGCAAATACAATATGCAAAGCATCAAAACTTCATGAAGTTAAGCTAATTGTGTCCATCAGACAGAATTGAAAAAGGTATGTATGTCAACATGTCCAATTACAGTATTACACCTAACTTCACAATGAAAAAAAGGGCATACTGAACAATCATAAAAGTGAGCCAGTGGCCGTCTTGGCCAAGTACATACTTCGTATTTCATAAGCTGTTCGATATATTAATTAGGGCATATCAAGAGAACTAAAACAGCCCCAAAGAGATTGATGAGGAAAGATAACATACCATCCTTCTGGTAAGTACTAGAAGAGCCAGAATTGTACTTGGCATGGAAGAAGCAAGCAATCTGCACACAAATACTCATGAGCATAAGACATTAAGAAAATTGATATATCGGGGTGACAAATATTAGCCATAACTGTTATCATTCACTACTGACCGAGAAGTAGCACTTTGATGAAGGCACCCACAAATTAGAGCTACCAGTATCAAAAATAACAGTGAATTTCTGAGGAGGAGTACCAACACCAATCTCCCCAAAGTATTGAGCATCCATATAATTCTTCAGGGCGACAATATCACCCTCCTCTACATCTCTAAGTTCGCCAAGAACATATTTCCCTAGGGAGGATCTCAGTTTCTCCCTATCTTTCAACCCAAGCCGAGAAGCAACACGAGTATTCTGATCAAATGTCTTCTTTTTCAATCCAACTCTAAGTAATCCATCATTGGATGTTGAAAGGACCAGTGGAATCAGAAATAATGAAAGAAACAGCGGAATCACAAGCACCTTAACTTTAAACATCTTTACCTATCAATGAATTTGCAGTTTACATCAGATGATGAATGCTACAAAACGAACTGCAATAGACAGGAAACAATGACTCTTAATTCTAGAAAAAAGAGTGATCATGTCCGGTTTGTAAGAAGTAGACCTTCCTTCTGCCTACTTAGCGCATTTTGCCAACCAAACAACTTTAAATTTCTTACTTACTAAGAACTTCTATCACCTTTTAATGGGAAAAAGAGTAGCATACATAACATAATCATGTTCAGCATTCTATATAGGCTTTTATAATCCGCTCAATACTGTTCCATACAAAAGCAAGCTAGATTTCGGGTACTTCCATAATTCCTATGCACTAATGCACGTTTATGTCAACCAAACAAGCACTCGAACAGATCTAGTCATTTCTTATGCATACTGTCTAGCTCTATCTCATCAACAAATTTAACCCTAAAATCAAATGGGTGTTACACTAATAATTATTTATGTATTCATATAGCAAAAATCTATGATGCTCACAAGTCACAACATTATCTTTTCCTAATTAAGCTAATAGTTAAACCATGCCTTACAAAAGTGCCTTACTAATTATAATGCTCACACATTATAACTCAAAAAAAAACATAATTTTACAAAAATTAATGGTAAAAATTAGTAAATTTGACAGCCAGATTATTTCAAAACAGAAGTTAAAATCTCATTTTATAATTAATCACCTACCAGTCTAAATAATTCCCTACAAGCCTAATGGCATCCACAACAGTACTGAAAATCTGAAACAAACTCCAGGGATAACAAATTAAATAATTTTTTTCTTTTCTATTGAAAATTAAAAAATGGAACACACAAATTATACAATGCCAGAAAATTCTGTCTTTATTTTCTCCTTATTTTATGATGCACACCATAAAGATGGCTCCTTTATAACGGCTAAATATCAGTAAATACAGCTCAATATTTTTGTGAATGAAATTATAACTAATTATACAATGCATGCACTCAGAAAATGACCTTAAATTTTTCTAAATTAATACAAAATTGAAAAAGAAAAGAACCCAGGACCAGAAATTCCCAAAATTTCAAATAAAAATTTCATCAACTTTCAAATAAAAATTTCATCAACAAAAAAAAACGTACACAAAAAAATGAAAGATTCAAAATTTGAACAAAAAAATAGCTGAAAATTATAATAATTTCCGCTAATTAATCAAAAGAAGAAAGAAGAAATCTTACCGAGTTCTAGAGATGATGAGAGAGAGTGTGTGTAAGTGTAGGAGAGAAGAGAAAAAACGGTGAAGTTTTTAAGACTTTTGACAAGTTATTTTTAAACTCCCCTGCTTTTTCAATTTGTAGAGACAGAAGTTTATTTATATAGAATTATTATAGACTGGTAGGTGATTAAAATTAGCACTAGTACTACCAAGTTGCCAGGAGTTTTCTGTTTTGTTTTGTTTTTTAAATGCGTTCGATTAGTTATAAGCATTAAATATATTTTATACACGATACGAAGTATGCAATTACATGTTGATTGATGCATTTGTTTATTTAATGATTTTCCCGTGATTTCAGATGAAATATGTTTTTTTTTCATGTTCGTCAATTCACATTACAAAATATTAATTAGTACAAGTAATATTTTTAATTAATGAACAAGGAATTTTAATGTAAAAAATGATAATTTCGTATATACAATGAATCCAACTTTTTTTAAAAAAAAAAAAAAAAAAAAAAAAAAAAACAAAACCTCATATAACTATATTTTTTCTTGTAAGTTCGAATCACCATAATTAATAATGCCAAGGGTGCAATTTATTCACATAACTTTTATTTATCTGAATCCATTAATCTAATTTTAACTAGACTAAAATGATTAAACCTTATTAAAATTGAGTACCTGAGTACAGATACTCCAAAAAAAAAAATGCGCGTTTTGTGCACGACTAGTCACACCATGTATGTAACCGCTTGTAAAAGAACAAATAAACGCTATAATATTAACCGAGTTCTCGTATAACATTGAGCGAGTAACCCTTATAACATTAACAAAATAACCCCATAATGATGTGTGGCTAGCCACATATAAAAGTTGGTGAAATTTATAATGTTTTACCTATAGTAAAACGGAGGAAGTATTTTTCAAAATAAAATTTAATATACTTAGCACATAAGGTTTTATTAATTAAATGTATTTAAAAAAAAGGCCAAAAAAGCTTGCATGTAATGTAGGTCGTTCGTTCTAAAAAGTGTATTGATCCTAATATAACCGTTGGATTAGGATAGAGTGGAATCGTTATTGAGTTGAGTATGTCACTCAGAAACTCAGTGAGTCGTAATCACGAAGTGTTCGTTTTGTTTAGAGGGAAAGATCATGTGTGTTAAGGTTTAGATGGAACATGGAAATTGACGGTGAGGATGAACTGAAAAGTGGGTTTGTGGGACCCACTTTTTTGGAGTAATGGATTTCGTTGGTTTTGTGAACGACAAGAGAGTTTGGAATTTAAAGAAAAAGATTGCAAGAAACAACAACTAAATTTAGATTACGTGGCTTTGAAGTGGGGTGTAGTTCGTTTTACAAACCTTTTTTGCACTCATCATATTTCATAATTCCTCCGTTTTATAATCGCAACGTTAGGAAGTACATATAGTTTAACAAAAATATAAAATTGGCTTGTAGACTTTAATAAAATAATATAAATGGGCAAACTTTTTATAATATAGAAAGTATAGTTAGTATGAGAGAGAAATAATAGAAAAATAGTGTAAGTAGGGTTAGTAGGAGAGATATTCAATAACACATCATACTAAAAGCGAATCTGACAAGACAATTATCATGTTCTGATTAAAAAAATTCCCGCCACTTTTATTCTTTTTTTTTTGTTAATTACAAATCTTCATGAATATTAATTTATATATCCTATAATATTTGACTTTCAATTTGATAACTATGTACGAAGTATATTTTTAAAAGAAATTCAATTATTTGTTGGTTCCTTATTTGTTTTAATTTAAAATATTATTTTTTAAAAAAATTAGGTTAAAATGACATTGTAATTCATAATTAGGTTAAGTAAAAACTATGCATTGCACGGCACTTAAATAACATAACATAATACTAAAAGCGAATCTGACATGACACTTGTCATATTCTGATTAAAAAAAAATTACCACTTTTATCTTTTTTTTTTTTTTAAATTATAAATCTTCATGAATATTAATTTATATATCCTATAATATTTGACTTTCAATTTGACAACTATATACGAAGTATATTTTATATTGCGTTCAATGAAAATATTTAAACATATCTTTCATATATTTGTGTTTTGTTAATGTTTAATGATTAATAACTTTTGATATCAATATAATATAAAATTCAAGTTAATTTTTTTAAAAGAAATTCAATTATTTGTTTCAATTTAAAATATTAATTTTTTTATAAATTATGTTAAAATGACATTGTAATTCATAATTAGGTTAAGTAAAAACTGTGTGTTGCATGGGATTTAAACTAGTTAATAAAATAATAGTGGGTCTTTACAAAATAAGAAAGTGTTGCAATTATTATAAAACGAACATAAAAGAAAAGTGTTGCGATTATTATAAAACGGAGGAAGTATATGACTACCACCTTTTTAATTTGTATCGAAACAAGTCTTTTTAGTTAAAAGATCGACACAACATTAAAAATAATCAATTATAAAAAATAAAAAAAACAGTGGTCTTGCGTCAAGATTAATCGAAATAGAAAGTGTTATAAGTATTCAAGATTGACCAAAATAGAAAGTGTTGCGAATATATTGTTTTTTGTACATGATCCTTAAAAGCATTTATTTTGATTGGAAAATTTGGTTAGCCGAAAACATGTGAATTGAATAAGGTATTACATCACCAAATAAGGCTTAGACCTTATTTAGTTCAATTTATGTTTACTTATTTCGGAAAAAATAAGTTTAAATCAGAAAAAATAAGTTCAGATTAGATCAGATCAGAAAAATATAAGTTCAAATCATATCAACATTTTATGTGCATTTTTTATCGCTAAATGTCTTCAATTACATAATGAAAAAATTATAAAAATTACATATTAATAAAATACACATTAATACGAATCTAACAAGACCCCACTTGATATTTTTTCTTTATAGATTATCGTACACATAAGGTCAAAGTTTGGTAAATCAGACAATCAGATCAGATCTGATTAGACCAGATGTCGTCCCCATTAAAGTCACTTTGAGATGGAGATTCCCTTACCCTTCACCTCCACTCTTAAAGGGCTAAGCCTACAAACTCGGATTTGGTGTACCTATGAGAGGTTTTGTCTCGATAGTACCCTTTTCTTTAACAACCAAAAATTGGGTAAGAACCAATAAATATGAAATTAAGCAATAAAAAAATAAACAAAGAGAGTATTATGGAATCCTCGTAGTAGCTTAGCTAGTAGGAATGCACATATGAAACGGTTGGCATATCTTGTCATGCATATACCCAAACAAAAAATGTAGTGTTGCGCCCGAAGTAAGGTGTAGAGTGCAAGGAACACGTAGTTTTAGGTAACAATGTTGTTTGCACGCTTTGTACTTAGCAACTTGCTATCAATTTAGCTACTAGTGGAGCCAATTCAGATGTTAAAGCCTTTAAGTAGAGGATACCTTCTTGTTTTTCAGTTATCTCATATTTCATATTAGTGGATGTGTAATGCGGTGATGAGGTAATAGCTGATAGAAATAAACATTTTTAAATACTTCCTCCGTTCTTTTTTTATCGCATCACTTATTACTTTAGGAAGTTTACTTATTATTGCATCATTTTATTTTTATGATAAAAAATATCTATGTTCACACTGCAAATACCCAACATATCCTTACTTTTTCACATTTACCTTTTATTTTATCTTACATTACATGGACAATTTTGTATTTTTACGTTTCTCTCTCTTACTTTTTTCCACTACCAAATTTTGCCTCCAAAACCCCTATGATGCAATAAAAAAAACGAAGAAAGTATGTTATACGCCAAAAAATACGTCAACTCTTCTAATTTTACCGCTATGTCTACAAGTAGATTTGATTTTTTGTGCTGTAATGCGTGTTTAATACTCCGTACCACTACATAATAACAGTAGAATTCGGAATATTATAGAGATGTCAACGAGCTAATATGTAGGAAAACATACATCCCTTTGTTTAAAGTTGCATATGTATCGTACCATACGCCTAATTCACAATAATTTGTTATAAGTATTTGCCCGAATAACTAATGCCCATACTCCTTACTACCTAACCTATACCAAAAGTGGTGAATGATTTATTTTTCCAAAATCATCAAGTATTATCCTCTCTTCTTCCAAATTTAAGTGTTCCATTATCAACCATTAATAGCTTATACAAGTATAATTTAAATGTAATTGTTAGGATTATGTTTGAAACCAATTGGTGGGAAATATACTCTTACCTTTTCTGATAGAGTAAAAAAACATATCCCTGGATCTCAACCATCGGCTTAAACTTTAGGTTGAGTTGGCACTTTAACATGATATCAGAACCAACATAACACAAAGGTCAAGTTTTCAAATCTCATTCATCCCTACTTTCAAGTGGAATATTTTACATAGGGTATACAGAGAGCCCATGCTACATTAAGAGTAATAAAGTATATAATATATTTTTAGGCCTTAGTCATCAGCTTAAACTTTTGGTTTGAGTTGGTCATTTAACATTTTTCTTACTCTTAACTAGCCTGTTAATTTCCATCAACATGAGATGGGATGACCTTTGCAAAAAAATTTTGGCTCCGTAGGACTTTCTCTATATATATTAAAATAAAACTATATTTTTGGTGAGATAGATGGGCTGAAAGGTAGAGTGAGTTTAGAGTTTAATAAGCCCAGTCCAAAGAATGCTAACTACTTTACAAAGGTCTCATAGCCTTAATTATTAGCCCAAATTTGAGCCCAAAGTTAAACAGCTAAGCCACAAAATGATAATTTATAAGGCTTGCCTATATTATTTGGGCTGGTCAAGATATACAGCCCATTTCATAATCGAAGAAAATTCAAATAAAAATTAAAGTTGCTTTTAGTGAGTAAAATGATCCAACTTTTCATTTGTTCAAAATACCACGACGTAAATTTTAATATTTATATACTACTCCGTAGTAAATATTTTTTTTAAGTTATGTTGCTTGACAAAAGGAAGAGAAATGTCAAATACAAATATTCTTTGGGTTATTTATTGCTCCATATAAACAAAATATGAAGTATTAGGCTCGTAAAAATTCTTTAAAAGCGAATTAAATTCTTCATACACATACTAGTATATAAGTTATAAAGAAATGGAGGTTAGTTTGAGATTGGATATCTAATGTTATTTAGTCATTACTTTTTTCATCTAAAGTATGAGTATATGTCGAAATTATTTAAC